AAAAGAATGTTGGACCATGACAAAATTTTTTTTTTGCCATGCTGCACAGTGCACAGTAGATGTTGAATGGGTCACTGCGTAATGGATGTGTTGAATTAGAATCCAATTTCAAAGGAAAATTGATTTTGAGCAGAGTCTGTACCTTTTTACTCATTTAGTAATACGCAGTATTATAAAAAAGTACTACTAAAAAGAATTGATTTTTGCTGAAAACGTTGCATTTAAAAAAGGCAYTGAGTGTTTAAAATATATAATAATACAATTTAAAGTTTCAAGTACCTACCCACGAATAATACTTTTAAATTATGACAAAATAGCTAAAATCGTAATCCTTTGTTAATATACCAATACATACCTACCAATTTTTTTCAAAGTTGAACTTAAAATGTCTATAAAAATAAATTGTAATTATATATTGTTTAGATTTTATAGTTCCAACAATATTAACTACTTACGAGTAACTTTATCATTCATTTTCAAACTTTAGAGGAATAAAAATGAACATTATAGGTACCTAATACATTTTTAACTAGGTACAAAATAATTTGTGAATATCCGTGGTTTTGATGAATTTTGTCGAAATTAGAAAACTGTAGAACAAAAAAAGGACACAGTATTCCAGTATACTTGGCCGACAACGATATCACTATTGTACTTATATATTATTTTCAGTTTCACCATTGAGAGTAAACTAGGAATCGGAATTTTGAAAAMTAAACTTAAAACTGTTACCGTAAAATTATTATTAGTCATAAAATTACTTTGGATGATGGTAATGAATCGAATAATTAATAACGAATTAAAATACTGGTCCTGTCGACCGAAATGTCAAAAATCTCCCTCGATACGGTGCATTACGTAATTGTGTTTGTAACGATGGAATTTAAATTTGATTATTTTTTAGTAAGTAATTTTTTTTYACTTCTAAATAGACACTTAGATTAAACATATACCTATAGATAGCCGACGCTGTATGAATGTATATGATCGTTTAACAATTTGAAAGTAACTTACCACCATTTTAAATTCCACGATTTATTGTTATACGRTGTGAAACTTGTGTTGTGAATTGTGATCCATCCAAWGTTATGATTGATTATAAATTTATAGCAAATTACAAAACTAATTAGTAGTYCCTTAGATTGCATTATGAATCATCTGTAATGCTTGTTGTAACAAATGAGTAGGTACTAAGAACTGACTACTCAGACTACTGAATACTGTAACACAGAATTCTACGCTGCCGCTGTGACAATAAGATTTTTATAGTTCTTGTAAATCAAGAATGTATCTAGATTTTTAAAWTTAAATTCAATAATTATTTATTAAAATCTTATTCCTATTTTTTTGTTTTTTATGCATCATCATGAAAAGGATTCCTTGTTAAATTTAATTGTGTGTGTATCACAACAAATTACATACAGATTCTTGATGGTCATACTTTCTGTAAAAATAAAAATCACATATTTTGGGMATTTGAGCGTATTAATTCCTCCATTCAATAACAGGTAAAAACAGGTATAAAGATATTTTAACAAACAAGAAAAATATCATAGTAAATAAAAACAAAAATTAAATAGTTCTCACAACACAACGGGTATATATTTAAGTAAATACATTTCTGTTGTTTTTTTTTTTTTACAATGTGTTTGATAAACATCATTGTTAACATATCAACTATTTGATTAACTGTAAATACACGCTTCTGTCGTAGATTTTACTTAGGAATTTAATCGGATTAAATCATATTCAAGAGATAATATTTCTCAAGACTGAGAGAGGGAGGGATAGACACATTACTTGTGTGGCATTGCGCCCATGCAACTTAAAACTTACGATACATATAGATATATTATTCGGTCGAGGGGGGGAGAAAATATTACTCTTCTTATGGCATCTCAAAGTTGCGTAAAACACKCAGCAGCGAATGCGCTACGGAAAATACATACAATTTTGCAAAAAAAAAATAAAATAAATTAATAAATTAATAAAAATAAAATCATGTTTTTTCCGCGCACCGCGCACAATAATAATAATCATACATAAAATAAAATAATAATAATAATAACTAAAAATAAAATACACACTATACAATAAGAATAAATAAGATGAGAGTTATCATTCACAGTAAAATGATGGTAAATAGTGTTCACGAGAGAGAGAAAAAAAAATGAAAAAAAACAATTGACTGATATTTCAACGGAATAATTCTGTACGAAAAAAAATTATATAATATGATTATTGTTTTGTGTAGATACGTCTAAAACATAACAAAAGTATCAAAGTATCTACTGAGAATAATATAATATAATATTCAATTTTAATTAACTATTTAATCGTACAAAAATAAATGTGCGTTGAGCAAGAATATTTTGGAACTCTTTTATGATAAAACAATTAAATACTTTTTATAACTTCGAAAACACAACACAATGAGTTGAACAACAGATTAATTTGAATATAATACAATATATAGTTTTGGCGATAGTTGGTCCTGAAGATATGTGTAAAGATTTTAAGATTAGTCAAAATGTTAAATTGTTCTAAGGGCAATAAATAAACAAATAAAACATAAAAAACCGATATATTTTTCACTAAATTAGAAAAAAAAACATCAAGGCCAAAAATTATGTATTCTTTMATAAGCCTATASTAAATATCTTCTATATCTGATAAATAAAAGTTCTTCTTTGAAAAGTAATATGTGGGGAAGAGTATTTTTTAAATTTTATTGCAATTTAATTAATTTTTTATTATTGAGACCCGCGGATGGACGTGTAAATAGTAGATGTGACTAGTAGATGATCCAATTAAAGAATTTCAGAATGAATTTTATTCTTCATTTGATATAATCTAGTTGTTAATAATCCTTGGTAATTTTTTTTTACTCGTTTAAATATTATTATTATTATTTTGTTTGTTTATAAATATTGATGATTTACAGATCCGACTCGCCATATAAGGCAGTTGAAAATGACATGTAATCTAGGGCTCCTGGTACAGCATTGACACCCTTATATGGAGCCATACGCTGTATACAGTATTCCGCCTGATCTGGAGGAAGTTCTCGTCTTAGTTCATCAGATAAAATGTATGGCTATAATTGAAATTGACATGAAATTAAAGAACAGATTCTACATATTTTATACAAAATAATTTAATTTTACCTTGTCGCCTGCCAAAATGCGGAACGAATCAATCACTTGCTCAGCAGTATCTGTGTCTGTAGATTCCCGAGTCATAAAGTCCAAGAAAGCATCAAAGTGCACATAACCAGTACTATTGGGGTCAACCACAGCTAATATGCGTTGGAAATCAATTTCACCCTATGGAGCATAAGCTCAGTGTTAAGGTTTGTATGAAAAATAAAAAACATACTTTCAATGACAAAATATGATCTACCTGTCTATCCTTTCCAATACTATAGCCAATGGACACCAAGCACGATTTAAATTCTTCAGGAGCCAATCGGCCAGTACGGTTCTTGTCAAAATGATTGAAGCTAGCCCTAAATTCATTAAGTTGTTCCTGAGTAATACCCTTGGAGTCTCTAGTCAATATCTGGTTTTCTACTTCATTCACATTGCGATTTATGGACGTTAATAGTTGTTCCCATCCAACACGTAGTGTCTCCATTGTGTATTGAGTATACCTACAATCAATGCATTATTTTAATAAACTGTCTCAAACTTTTTTTGTAAAATAAGTGATTAACTGTACCTGTTTTCGAAGATCATACCCTCTTGTACAGCTTGGTGGATTTTCTCTAATTCCTCAATATGTGGCTTGTATGCAAACACATTCTGTTCGTATTGTTTCAGTTGGTGCAATTGATCTTCCAGAGAACCTTGCAATCCCATACCGATAGCTGTTACAGCATCCATTTGCCTCTCAATCCAAGGACCCACTTGATTTGACTTCTCCGCAAATTGACGACGTAGCATCTCATTATCTGAAAAACAAAACCAGTAATAATGCAATGTTGCACATGCATCATTTACAGCAAGACATGTTAATAATTACTTTGTTGTTTTCTGAGTTCMGCTTGGAGGGTCGTGTCTCTTTGGGGCACTAGATGTTTCACTTCAGACCATTTTTTACTTAAATCCTATATACAGATATACGTAAAGCTAATGTTAAAAAAATAATGGGCATTGCAAAATGTATACATACACTAGAAGTCAAAGTAGTGTACGGGTTCTGAAGACCACCRGGTATTTGGTATTTTTGTACAGTTGACTCAACATCTTTGACCAGTCCAATGATAGAATTGTACTCTTTGTCAGCATCAGACAAAGTAGCCTTAAATTGTCCATGTGCATCAATCAATCCTTGAATTTCTTCAACAGTGTGCACAATGAACATATCTACTAAATCTTCACGTGTACCATCCAACCAGTTGTTGAAAGGCTAATTTTAAGTAAATTTATAATTAATTATAATTACTAAATATTTTAAGACGCAAAACCAAAATTTGTTTAACAAATTGACAAATTTCGATGGTATGGCAGCAGTGGCGCTCAGGCAGGTTAGCAAGTTAGCTAACTGCGTGCAGTTAAAATACCTCTGTGCGCCACTGAATTATGGCTCATTAAGAGGACGTGATACCTRCATGTGTTGTCTCTGTCTTACAAGTGCGTAACATAGCAAATTGTATGTTCAGCAGCAMATGTGTAGCTCTGTTAGTATAAAATTTAGAATGAATTGRCCTCTGATAAAATTTAAAGGTAAGATTATTATCCAGACAACTTCATAGGCTTTTCATCATATTTTAATTTTAAAGCAAGTTACGAATTTTAAGATAGTAAATAGTTKTTACATCTTAAAATACTCATAACTAACTTTAAAATTAAAATATGATAAAAAACCTATAAAGTTGTTTAGATAATAAACTTACCTTTAAATTTTATTAGAGGTCAATTCACTCTAAATTTTAAACTAACAGAGCTACAAGTGTTCTGCTAAAAGTGAAATTTGCTATGTTACGCAGTGTAAGACGGAGACAACACATGYGACTATCACATTTTTTTAAGGACAATTTATTTGGTTGTACTTACAGCTGCTCTCTTAGCAAATTCCAAATGCAATATATCAATTTTCTCTAATATTTTTTCTGCATCATCCAAATCAGTTCTGCGTTTTTGTGTCAAGCTACCTAATCGGTCCCATTGATCACAAATACGTTGACAGCGTATATTTACGCTTGTACTATCATGATATTCCAAAGTACTGAGAACAAATTAAATACAAAAAACATTACACATTTATAATAAACAACGATAATGCCTTATAAAAAAGAATCATAAATTTACTTTAATTCATGTGCAATAGCTGCTATCTGCTCGACTCTGTCTTGATGTGCAGCTAAGTCACTCTCAAAAGCTTCGTGTTTCTTTTTCAAAGCCTTCAGATCGTTTAGCTTGCATTGCCTAAAGTCAGAGCTCTGCAACATCTCYTCTTTTCCACGTGTCCAATCTTCATGAGTGTCAGCTTTTGCCTTGAACTTTTGTGCCAAATGCTCCAAACGCTCTAATCTCATCATTTCGGATAACAGCCAATCTTCAAATGACTTTTCTGACTGTTCAAGACCTTTCCATGCATTGGCAATGTCCTAGTGAATCCATAACAATTTCAGTCAATCAATGATTTTTGTGAAAAAGAGGAGAAAGAAAACAATTATTACTAAATGGACTTTTACTCACAGAAACCATTTTTCCCTCAGTTGGCATGTATGCAGGGCGGTTGGATAAACGCAATTTTGTTTGCAGAGTGTTAAAGTTTGTCTCAAGCTTGGCTTTCTGTTCTACACGTGGAGGCTTATGTTTACGTCTGTAAGTACGGTATTCTTCSAGCCTTTTCTGCACACCGGACAATGAATTATCGGCCTGTCGACTCTGCAGCCACGGCAATGTACGCCTGATCCATTCCAAAAGCTATAAATAATAGATGAATAAAAATTGAACATTGATCATAAACGATAGTCTTAACTCGTAAATAATATACTCACATCACTAGCCAAACGTTCGTATTCTTCCATCAAACGCTCATTCTCTTGGTTCACTTTAAGTACCTTGCAAATTCTGTTTGCTGCGGTCTCGGCCTATAAAATGTCCAAAATCACACAATCATAATTCGCAATTCCGTTAAGAAAATGTAAGCGCTCAAATTGTTTTCTCTCTTTGATCCACGCGCAGYGACAGCAAATTTAAGTTTAGCAGAACCAACTCTAAGATTTTACTTTTAATATTAGAATGAATTCGCCTATCATCTAATTATAAGTTAAGAATATTACCTGCATCCTACGTTAGCTATTTTATGACATTTAAATTTGTATGTAAGAAGTTATGAGCTTGTAAATCATCACAATTTAAAAATGCTTATAAATTGTATAAAAACTAAAATATTATAAAAAAGCCAACATAGGAACACAAGTAATGTTCTTGGCTTAAAGTTTGATACTAGTGAATTCACTCTATAATATTAAGAGTAATAACAAAGATTGGTTCTGTTAAACATAAATTTGGTATGTTGTACGAGAGAAAACAAATGGTGCACCGACATCCTCTTGATGTTAGTCACAAAAAGCTATAAAGGTAAAAGGCAAAATTACCTTCTGGGCTCCAGAAAAGCAATGGTAATACGATGAAACATAAGTCATTATGGCTCTTTCGTCTGGCATTGCCGTATTGGTCATATCTATCAATGTTATAACAAACATGCGCATGTTAGATTCACTCAAAACTCAAAATCAAACAAAATTTAACTTATTGTTAAGTAAGTATATTAGAAACTATAAACAATAATATTGTTCGCACGCAAAGTATATTTCAGAAGAATATTTGATTTTATTGGGCTCACGCTTTTTCGTTTTTGCATCTTTAAGCTAGATCATTAATTTTTCTGCAGTTCTTAAATTAATTTTGTATTACCTATAATAAATTATTTTATACACTGGATTTTTATTATCAATCACTAATACCTTATCTTGTTTTCCTAAAATTTCTAATGACAAGTTTCAACAAAATACGTTAGAGGTTAACCTGTATTTTAAAATAATAATGTTATACTATAATAGTATAATTTATAACAATTGTAAAAATGTATCAATTATTTGTATAAATAGCATATTAAATCGTATCATTATAATATTATCAACTGTAATTTAAAATTAATTATAATTTTGGTATTCTTATTATTGTGAATTACTTGTTATAGGTACGTAATAAGTATGTGGCATACTAAAATCTTCAAATTGTAGACCTGCGTGAAAATATTAATTTAAAAAAATAAAATTGAAACGATGCCATTTAGTTTATACAAATTATTAATAGTAAAAATTATAAAAATAAATTTTATTTTTATTGATGATGATAATTGTAAAATGTATATACATTATCATAATATAATTATATATTAATAAAGAATCGTGTTATGCTCGATTCACCACTATATATCATATGAGGATAGATATTAATTAGTAAATATAGTAATAAACAAAATAGTAACTAGTATAGACAATATTATGTRTATATAAAAATACACAGCGAAGATTAAATGTAGGTTAAAATGATTTAACTATCACACAAAACGCAGACGTTTATTATTATTCAGAGTGGGTTAGCTTATTTGATTGGGACAAAAGCGGGATGTAGACGCGTTTTTACCTGTTGCGCCCCTTGGAATGCGTGATAATAACACGACACATAGGTCATGATCGCGCGTTCGTCCGGTTTCGGAGTGTTTATCAAATCTATACAAAACATGACCGTGAAAAGTTTTCATTTTAAACATATTAAAATACAATCGTAATAAATTCACGGGTGTTATAATAATTTACACTACTAATGATAAGACGAAAATGGCGCCGATAATGATGATAATAATAATATTATTGGATTTTCTTAACTAGATGACACGCGTGGGACACGATTAAATAATAAATGTAATAAATCACAATAGTAATATTATATTATGTATTAATTATATAATGTTTCGTTACCTACGCAACATACGATAATTAACTAGCAGTACGTACCTTCGGGGTCCAACATGCGAGGTATGTCCAAGTACTTTTCAGCGACATCAAACGCAGTGTTCAAATTCTGCAGGGGATTGTCCTTAGACAGTTTATGGTAATCGATGAGATCTGGCCGGTGACGGTGAATGAGGGCGCAGAAAGCCAAACCATCCTTGAAACTAGAGTGAGAATATGGCCGGAGTGAGAATAATAATAACAATTGAATTATCTATGGTTTAAAGGACTAGTATGTTGAAAATAAGATTAAAATATGATGCAGTTATGCGGAGATAAATTCTTAAACTATTCCACTTTTGGGCTCTTATAATATGAAGAAAAAAATATAGGTAGCTGGTGCTCGTGCAATAGAATTGCACACAACGCACTTACGCACCTGAGATGGAAGTTTTGAACGTTGACATTCTTGTACGGGGCTGTCTTGCGTTGACACCACAGCAACAGACCCTCCTTGGCAGTCATCTCCTCCACGGATATGTCTTGGATGGCGAACCTCAAAATGATCGTCCATATCATACCCAGAGTCATTTTTAAATTTCCATCGACAATTTCTACAAAAGGGTACACATTATAATTAACATACACCACAATAATATATACACTAAACGCTGATCTGCAATTATTTAACTATTTATTTGATTGACAATTATAAACCCAAACAGAAGTTGATAAGCAATGACTTATTTTCTAAACAAACTAAAATGTAGTTTGATTTATTTACTCCTTCAAACCATATTATTACTAACAAATAAAGTTTTTCAATTTCATTTCTCTAGKCTTGATCGACATAAACTTAACAGTAGGTAATAGGTATATAATATACTTGTCATACCTTCGGCACCGATCGATACCAATTTCACACCCTTGCTAGCTATGAAGTCAAGTGCTTTGTTGACATTGGCGATCTTGTGGAAGCGCATTTTACCTCTGTCGGGTTTTGGTAACGTCTCACCGGAAATCACTTCAAGGAGCAACATGAGTTTGAGCCCGTTGCGGAAGTCCTCTTCRATGTTCTCGATGGCTGTACCCGCTTTGCGCAGGTGCGAATTGCACCATGCCGTAAAGGTCTAAAAGCAATGAAATTTCGAGTTATTATTATTCACCACGATTTTATAAATAAAATAAAATATTATATATTATGTATATATAGATAGATATTTTGAAGTTCAACAAAGCATACCAAATTTTCGAATACTTGAGATTTTTAGTACCAACTATTTTAGAATGATCTTGTGACAATATAAACTTCTKTTTTTCAAATAGCAACCCTCTTTTTTCAYATTTAATTATTTTGYGRGTAATTTTTTTTTAAATTTGATGCACCTAAATGAATGAACAATTAAAGGGAAATTGGGCCAAATATGCCATAAAATCATCATGTATAATCATAATAATATRATACATGGTAATATATTCCAAATTTAAATATTTTAAGATACAAATTTATAATACACATCGCATTTCAGAAACTTTTTATAAAAAATGGTAAAGAATTTTAAAACAAATAGAACACCCATAATTAAATATTATAAAGCAAAATAAATTATATAATTTATAAGCTGTATAATATTAACATATGTTTTTAAACCAATAACTTTCCCTATTATAGTAGTATATTAAATTAATAAAATAATATCATTAACGTTGTATATTATTAGGAAGTGTGTATATAACTCGTATGTTTAAAAAATTGTGTTTGTTTAGCATTTAAATCATTGATTTACACTATTTTAATGTAGATATAATTAACAGCTGTACCTTATTGTGACCTACTTGTAATTGTCATATTAGTATTAGGCCAATAGGTTTTATATTATCCGTGGTATAAAATTATAGTTAAAATTTAAAAAATAMACTTAAATCCTTAATTAAATTTAGTACAATGAAATTGCTTTCAGTCGTTATTAGAGTGCCTAATAATATATTATAAACAGATAACATATTCTAATTATGGTTTAGGTTGACATGCGACTCCATTAAAATCAACACGAGCCGAGGGCCCGAGTATGTATTTGTTTAAGATACCKTACGCAATATAATAAAAACGATAACGGGAATATTTGAATTGGAGAAAATATGACTAAACGATTTCGATCTAGTTGCTTAGGCAGTTGTATTATAGTAGTTAGTATACCTTCAACAATCAAAATACAAATCTTACTTTCTGTTTCTATACAACTTCACGTTCGTCAATATTTATTATTTATAGTAGTATACGAGTCTATATATAGGAGGGTTTAGGTTATAGGATAGATTGGAGTATACATGTGTATATATTTTATGTAAGTACGATAGATCAGCAATTATTGTATAAACGATTATTGTTACAATACATTGCGGTCACGCGGTAAGTATATCTACAGAGAGGATCGGCACCAGCATTAACTTTTCATATATATCGAGTGTACGTCCTCCGTTGCCAATTGACCAACGAAATTTGACTTAATATTAAGAATTATATTATAAATTTTCATTAGTTTAGTTAGCATACTTTATTATAATAAATCATACTCTAATAAGTATAATATAATTGCAATACAGTTAAATAATAAATTTCATAGGATAAATATTTAATTTTATCTATTAGTTTATTACTTAGGTTTTCAGCTCTCTCTTTGACATCCTATATATAACAAGAATGTGTTATATATGGATAAATATATTCACTATTGAGTAGTATTGACAATATAACTTGACTTAAGAGGACACCAACACRGCCACACCCGCATATTATGTTGTCTCAGTCTTACAAATGTACAACATAGCAAAAACTGTTTTACGCGGGGMAAGAACCGAGAAGCCTATAAAGTCATTACATTAAGAAACCAAATTTTCCCACTATAAAGAGATCATTTACTGTGCAACATCATTTTTATTTTTTCGATATTACAAATAAAAAAAAATTAGTCCAAGTTTGAAATATTGAATTTTTAAACAACAAAAATCTTTTTTAATATTTGCGATATYGTAAAAATAAAAATGATGTTGCACAGTAAATGTTCTCTTTATAGTATAAACATTTGTTTTTTTAGTTATGAATGAAATCTTCTCGTTTCCTTCCCACACAAACAGTTTTTGCTAAATTGTAAGTTTGTAAGACAACAAACATAAGTATTGCTCCTCTTAACTTAACTTAACTAAGAAAATGTTGACATATATATATAAATATATTTAATTATATTTGGTGTCTTATTTTTATGATATTTTTTTATTTACAGTTAATTTTCATTTGAATATGCTTATTTTATACGTCCTAATAAAGTTGTTTTCGTGTATGTAAAAATACTCTCAGAAATTGTAAATAGTGTCTCGTATTTGCTTGTAAATTAYGTATTAATTTAGAAACACAGCGCGAAAGTGCTATGATTCGCAAACACCTTAAAGTACATATTTTGCAGCAGTAAATCATGAATATCCGTTAACGAAAATTTCCGGTAAAAATAATCAAGAAAAAACACAAGGATTCCGGTTACCGCAATTAAAGCGATCGTAGTTGAGGCAGCAATACATAAATAATAATATTCATCGCATAAACCTACTCTAAATATAATTTTATTTTCACAATAAAGTAGATTAAATTTTATTATATTAATTAAATATTAAGTACCTGTTWAAAGTACTTTAGATTAAGGTATAATACAGGAATGCACAATAATCGAAGTGCTTTAAAAAGTGCGAGGTGGGGGAATCACAATATAAGCTTATTATAAATAATATTCAAATATTTAAAATCACACTTAAAGTTCATAATTAAATATGTAATTTTCTGTATGCATAAATTAGTCAATAGTTGTACAAGCAATATCCTTTCTATCWRGCTCAAACGTAGTAATCATTCTCCAAATTTACAATATAATTAACCTTTAGCATAAAACTTACTAACTATACAGTTATAATAAAGATTATATTCATTTTACTATACAATCATCTAACTATTTAAAGTATAATACACCATTGTACATATTTTGAATTTTTTARAWAATATTTTAAATGATGCATTTGAAAATAAAGTTTAAATAAATCGTTTAGGATTAGTTCATAGGTATAGTAATTGTTTTCATAATCTAGCAAAAATATTGCAATAAAAATATGTAATGCATATAATAATACATACATATGTATATAAATATTTGTATATTACTCAAATTAATTGAAATTCGATTATTCCACTTCCGTTAATATATACTGATTATCGACACTTATCAGAATGAACTTACATTGAATATTGATGCAAAACAACGGTAAAATGCTTAGCGATTTATGCCAATTGGTAAGGTATGTTTACCTCCACACCTAGGTCAAAGTAAATTTAAAACATTGATGCTATTGTGCATTAATATGATAAACTCCAGTCATTACACAATTTTTTTTTCCAAAATCGATAGTTCAACACAAAGTCATGATCATTAACTAGAGGAGACACGAACGTAATTTAAGTCATCAATAATGTGTCTACATGTTTATGTTACAAATTAATTTCTATTGCGTAATTCTATTACACAAAATTTGATTACTATTTTCTTAAACACGATTCTGGTTATAAGTTTCAATCAAAACGTGCCGAGGAAATGAATGTAAACCTAATATTACGTCTGTGATAGACTGCAAGTTTCCAAAAACAAAATAAAACAATTCCAGAATTGGTCAACATAATCTCAATATTAAAATAATTATTAGCTTATATAAATTATTTATCAATATTGAACTATTACAATTTATTATATACCAATAATTTTATGAATTAATACCTGCTATAGTAATATTATTATTTATTTTATAGCCTCATCAATGTAGTCAAACATAATAGTTATACAACCGTAGATATTTATTAATATTAATTTTTTTTTTTATAATTACCCATGTACAAGTTATATTTTATTAAGTTTTATTACCAATCACTACTAAGTACAGCATTTGAATTTCATAAAAGTTATGTTACATAAACAAGAAATAAACCTAAAGATTAGGTAATAATTTAATTGGATTTGTTTGTACCTAAAGAAAAATAAATTAAATTAAAAAATATGTATTTAGCTTTTTTAAATCAATATTATATGGTCATAGATACACAATTTASAATATACAACCATAGTACTATACATTTAGATACTACAACATAGTTAAATTTCAATATATTATTTTCTAATTACTTATGWTTGTTTAATAACCAAAAATAATTTACGATTTACATATTCATACAGGAATAAAATAATAAAACACTAAATATAATAATATTATGCATTAATACATGGACAGCATGTATTATTTATAAGTAAGTAAGTAAGTATAATAAAAGAAATTACTCTTAATGGCTACAATTCCCACTATAAAATGTAAATTCCCATAGTATATRATTAATTAAATAATTAAAATAAATAGTAGCAAGACTTAAACGTGAATAATAATTATGTAGCAAGTAATAATTGCTAATAACTAATATTGATACAATTTCATCTCCTTGATGCCTACGAATTACGATTTACAATTCTTTTCATATTATCGTACATATATAATGCATATATAATATATAATATATATGGTATTCCTTCCTACGAATCGCGAAATCAAACCACCAATGATCTATAAYAGAAACAATAGTTAAAGAAATATTACAAAAAATAAAATAGCTGAAATATCTAATAGTGACGTGAGCACATTCTAAGAATTCATAACTCAYAGCAATTGCCTATTAAATATGTCTATAGACAATGTAGTGTATATTTTGTCTATATCAGTGAAAAACTGAAATGTCTATCAGGTGTGGTTTAGCAAAACTAACCGTTCGTCATATTGTACATATACGTATATAATATCATTCTGAATATAAATAATGATAAAATTATTACTTAAAATTAAAGTATAATGGAAAAAAWWTCTATATACAATCATAGTGACTGTATTTATTTTAAGTTCATTTGCTATTTTTTTATAGTRCATTGCTTATTCGCACACTTTCACACAATAAACCCAAAATATTTAGGTACCTACTCGAAATATTAAGAAGTCTAATTCCGTGCTTTTGTTTACAGCTACGGTGAAGGATGAAAAAAGTCACAATAATCAAATT